CAAGCAGCTTAAGTAAGCTTCTAGGTAGGACGCAGGATAGCTCACGCTTCTTCAAGGAAGCTCCCCCCGCCTGAGGGCAGGGGGGAGCTTCCCTGAAGAAGAGCCCACACTATATAATCATTTGGTTCGTAGATTTGTAGGGAAACTTAACAAGTGCAATCTTAATCTAATATGGCTCTGCAAGTGAGCGCTGCACAAAAGAAACACCTGAAAATATCCGAGAACATGGCCTTAACATCGAAAATGGTCTCAATTGCCGCTCGGATCTGGGGCCTTTCACAGCAGTGGGAAAAGCATTGGAGCAGTCTTTCAGGTCTGCCTTCTCCAACCTTTGCCGCCAAATGATCCTTTTGTTTTCCCAGTTGAATCTAGATCAGCCTTCCAAGTGGTCCTTTGAAGGAACTCACACCCAGCACTAACTTCGATGCTTATACAGTAATATGTAAAAATGATGATTTGGCTGTGAGATGAGGTCAAAACTTGTTGGCCCTGCGGTCTACCAAGAATGTGTAGATGTTGTAGTTCTCCAAAAGGCGGCACGCCTCGCCAGGGCAACATTGTGAATATGCAATGTATCAAAACATGTCTTGCCGTATCTGATCCGTCTTACCCTTTCGGCGACAACATATCTTATCCATCCTTTCGAACTCTTCGGATTGCCTTCTCGGTCAGAAGAGGGTACTTGATGATGTCGTACATGCCACCGTCCTCTGTCTGATGTTTCTCTCCATCTCTGATGTTTCTCATCCCTGCCTAAGCTTCTGAACACATGAAAACAAATATCAAAATATTGGTATACGGCATGTGCATGTCTGCTGATCAGCCATGTCTGCGTCTCCTCATCAAACTTGTGCTCCTTGGTTTGTCTTCGGGCCTTCAGTCGCAAGATGTCGCAAGGATATCAAGTTAAAACTCATTTTATTTTGTATCATAATATCTCCAGTGTCGATTTAACATTGTTGAATGAGCTTTCAGAACATCTCAGAACTGTCCTCGAGTCCTCGGGTAAGTCATTCCAAAGTGTGGAAAGTGCACCCACATGTGTGCCCTCACCTCAATGTTCTGGACATTCGGAAGCTGCACCCGCCGGGACTGAGTCCGGCAGGTGACCAGTTCTGGCCTGGTGGCAGCTGGAAAGGATCAATGGATGCGAGAGATGAATTGCGGGCTGTTCCTGGATGACATGAACATGAAGCATGTTCCTCTATTTCGCGCTTTCTCCACCCGCCTTGTGGCTTTGTTCGGTCTGTCACGATCTGTCACGATGCGTGTCATTACTTGTTGTCTGCTGTGGTGTTTGTCCTAGTGCATTGTCAAGTTAAATGAGTTGTGGTTGTGCTTGATGTTGCCATTATATGAGTCAATGTTTGTTGTCTGTTGTCATGTTGGGCCACCGGCGGGACACTCGGGCCAGGCACTGGTGAGATCCCTGGGTCGGGCCACTAGCTGGCGGGACGTGTTGCACACATGTTTGGTGTTGCGGTTGTGTGTGTGTGTGTCACTGCGCATTGTCTGCGTCAATGTGTGTTGTTTGTTGCATTGTTTGTCATTGGACTGGCCAGGCACTGGCTGATGCCTGCAGCAAATGTCAGACTAGGGAGGGCTGCGGTTGGTGCTGTCCTTGTCCATCTTATTGTTTGTTGTCTGTCGTTGTCGTCGTCTTTCTTATCGGGTGTTGTCACATGTTGGGTCTAGTCTAGTGGGGGCAGCAGCGCCAGGCCACTGGCAGGACACTGGTGGGACCATTGGGTTGGGTCACTGGTGGGCTGTGGTTGTGTTTTGTGCTGTCATTGTGTGTGGTAGTTGTACTACCAGTATGTGTCATTGGTTCGTGTCTGTTGTTGGTGTTGCTATTGCGGTGTGTGTGTGTGTGTCATTGAATGTTGTCGTGTTGTCGGTGGTTCTGTCTGATGTTGTCATTGTGGGTGTTCGGTGTCTCATGGTTTTTTGTCTGTTGTGCTTGTCATTGCACTGGGTTGTACGCTGCAGCAGCAAAGGTCACGACAATAATTAGGGTGGAATCCACAATCTAGCTACCCCAATATCCTAAATCCATCCAAATGCTATTATATAATAGGTGCAGAATAAGTGAGTGAGAGACGTGCGCAACATGTATGGCTGGTTCAATTCCAAATTGCGCACAAGGGGTTTGGTCGGCCTGCGCTCTTGGTGCAATGATCCACTCACCCAAACCTCCAGGTTGAGAATGCACTTTTCAAGAAGTCGACAAGAAACACAATGTCTACTTTGCCATCATGAACCCCTGCGGAATCAAATGGAAGCAGTCGCAGTAAATGCCTCTGGTAAACTTGGTAAATGTTAGTTGGTGCAAGGCAACGGCTTGAACTTTTGCAGCGGGTTGTTTGTTGTTGCTTTATTTGTTATTGTTCTTGTTGGTGTTCCCTCGTAGGATCCTGTGCATGTCACTTCTGACCAAAGACGGATCTTTGAAGGCTGAACTCAGTGGCGCGTTTTGGTGGATCTCATCCTAGGAGCAAGAAGCTACTGGGAGCATCTAGGAGCCAGGGCATCGCTACTAGTAACAAAGGGCATTACTACTAGGAGCATTCTTGCTACTAGGAGCAAGCCTTCCCCACCTCTTCGATTCTAGAGGACTCATCCGGCTTCCTCGCCTTTGGCGCCCAGTAGGCGGCAAGAGCAGCCAAGGCCAGTACAAAGCACCGGAAGCAATTTGCCTTGACCCATGGAGCGCAGGGCGTTCTGTTTTCAAAGCATGACATGCTGCATGTCTGCACATAATACAATCATGTTGAGGAAATAAGAAATCACTGTAACGGCAAAGGTGAGACAAATGCTTGAGGAGTTTCGCAATATCCTTGCGCAGTATCCTGCCTTCAAAGGCCTTGCCCCCCGCACTGTCTCCGCCATGACCTGTCAGGCAATCCATATCTCGCAGCGTCTCCAAAAGAAGCTCAAGAATGACCATGACCATGAGAAATTGCACACATCAGCTTCGACCAACATGCTGCCTCGGCAAGCCAAGCAAATTGAGGCCGCTTCGAGATCAACGGCTGTAGAGCTTCATTTTCCAGGGGCGGGTAAATGCATAAACAACTGGAAGGAAGGCCGGCCAATGATCCTTCCAACCTTTGTCGGATGCAAACATTCACTTGGAAACAGGACGCTGATCAGTTGAATCCATTGAAATGGCAATGGCTGGGCCATTTGTGCAAGCTCTCCTTTTCTGGCTTCGCCGAGTGGTGCACAAAAATACTTAATCATATCAAATCTATAACAGCATCCGTCTGAAACCTGCGATACTAGTGCCAAAGCAGTTGTTGTGCGTGTGCGCTCTCCTCCTTGTTTGACAACTGACCCCTGCATGGTTTCTGCTACTCTTCACTATACAATAATCAACTTACAGTAATTGCTGTGACTGAGATGTAGTGCAGCTTTTGCCAAGTCTATGCCTCACTCCTGCTTCACTCTTATGATGTCGGCTGCTAGTCCTGCAATGGCAAATGCATTTCCATTTCCAGATTGTCTTATGATCATGTGAATGACACACCCTTAACGTGCATAGAGTAAAGAATGAGCCCGGTGCAAAAAAACTCCGACGGCTGGAGCTCTTTGGCACAAACAGAAACATGCAAGGACACATTATCTTCTTCCCATTCTTTCCTGAGAGGTCTGGAATGCGCTTCAAATGGATCTTGGCTTTTGCTACTCTTCCATCCTCTCCTACGACCATCAGCGCTGATGGGTGTCCTCAGGGAGGTGATGACGGTCCAAGCTCCAAAGGCTTGACGCCACCCGCCGGCATCTGCCAATGACATCCAGTGTCGATCCAATCCAGCAACCCCTAGTAGCTTCTTGTTCCTAGTAGTACGGCCAGGAGCGCCTAGTAGCGTCCTTGCTCCTACTGTAGTAGTAAGGCCAGGAGCCCCTAGTAGCGTCCTTGCTCCAAGATCACATATGTCAATGGCATGACATTTCAAACCACGCATCTCAATCTGACAACGCTGCCTGTTTCAGCAGTGATGCCTCAACCTCATCCTGCAGCATGTTGAGCCCTTGGCCAGCCAAGCGTAAAGCTTGGCGAAACCGCTGAACTGAAACTATGTGTCAGGAACCTGCGTTTAGCCACTTGATAGAAATGCGTTTGGTAGCTGAGCTTCCCAACTTAGCCATTCATACCTGTCGCTAATGATCTCTTCCGTGCTGAGCTTGCGCAATTGCTGTGTCCAGTAGAAATCCTGCAGCTTGCAAATTATATATATGGTGCACACAGGAACAAAGTGAGCCAATCTGCCCACCTTGAAAGAACGGTACAGGCTTGGTGCGAAGAACAAAAAGAGAAAGAAAGGGCCGACCTTGGTTACAGAAAACGGCTTCTAAAACAGTGTTCATAGTTGCGTCAGGTCGGTTCCACACCAGCGGCACGCTAAGCAGTTGAGTCTCTGGCGTTGGCCTTCTCCCAAAAATACTTCTCCTCAAAGTACTTGGAAGGGTTGAAGCTTCCGACCTGCTCAAAACATGCTCTTAGACTCTCATGAAGTTGCTTCCCAACTCCTTCAGTGTGCTGCTTTACTGGCACTCAAAGTGCTTGAGAACTTTTTTCTGAGCACCAATGGCAGACCAACCATCCACCAAAAGCCTCGAGGACAGCTACTCTGATCCTACCATGAAGCAGCCAATGCTGACAACCTTGGAAGAATCTCGTCAAAGGCATTGACAAGCAAGGCCGTCAACAAGGCATAGCGGGACTGCTCACACGGACAGCGTCAGAAGTCTTGGGAAGTGCATCTTCAAAGGATTGTGGCACCTTGCTTCTCAGCACCAAATTCTTGCTGTTTGAAGAAAACACTGAATGAATGAAACCACAAATCTCCGTAGACAATAAACCCGAGAGCTTGAACCAAATTTCTGTGTTTGATCTACAAGGCAGGGGCGAGTTCATGCAAAAGCATGAAAGTCGGAGAAGGGAAGAAGTGAACATGCTGGACATGATCACAGATTTCTGGTGTGCTCCGAGGAACTTAAACAACAACCTGGTGCTCCTCGGCCTTGGCCTTGCAGTTGTCACCGCCCTCATGGCAGTGCACCTGATAAGCAATGATAGTCATAGACAGTTCTCAAGATTCGGTAGTTTGCGCCATTGTCAGTTGCGCTGCGCCTGGTTGTTCTTCTCGGCTGCGGTGAAAGATCCTGGGACTGCCCAGGAGCACTGGTCCTCCAACACCAGAGCGCCCTTCGCCACCCTGCCAAGGTCGGAATAGTTTTGAAAGAATGGTACAATCAGGTTCAAAAGAATAGTTGAAGAATGTTGAAGATCAGTGGTCACTGGTGTAAGTCTGCTAAATTGTTACGGCACTGAACCTACAAACCTACTGTTGAGAAGTTCATGTCAAGTGACGACCTCGCCTGAAGTACCCCATCTCACCCCAGTACTCGCCCCATGAATTGCGGACAATCCAGTACATGCCATCCTACAAGCACCCACTGGACTGAGCAATGCGAACTCTGCATGCACGGGCATGCGGCATGCAGAAACAAAAAGTGTGAATCTGTGTTCCTTGGAGTCAGTGCCCCAGCCAACCACGGACACGACATGGTCCACACCCTCACCCTTGGTCTTGATGATGCCTCTGCAGTCAAATACTCGCTGAAACATACCGGCTGCCCTTTGGTAAGAGCGAGAAAACGCACATTGCATGTGTATTGCATATGTATAATGGCGCACCTTACAATTGCCTCGAAGTTAGATCGTGAATTGCTTTCAACAACGGCAAATAGGCGCGGCACCAGACTCGTAGTTCAGAAGAGGATTGGCATCCACGCCGCAGGAAATCGGACCACGATGAAAAATTTCCTTCATCATGGCATCTGCTCCTCAACTTGAACAAGGCATCTGCAGGTTTTCAGATTCAAACAAATAACACGTTGCTTTTCAAAACATCTGGGCCCCCCGCCACTGATGGAACCATAGTCCGTGATGGTTGCATTGGGAAAATAGCCAAGGCCAGTGCCTCAGAGCTGTTGATGGGAAGGAGTCCCATGTTGAAACTATGTGTTTTCACGCACAAGCTGGATTGGTTGGTTTGCATTTTTGAATTACCAAGGCGGTTTGCAAAACTGCAACACAAGAAAAACACATGCAGATGGATTTGTGACAAAACGCATGGGCCGCCCTCCTGGGAAAAGCTGCCACAGGTACGTGCCACATTCGCAGCCTTCACTTGTGCGCAGCAACCATTTAATCTAGCTTACTTTTCCCATGCCGTGCAACCCCACAGCCTTCTTAAGCGTGATCCAAACATGATCAAATATGGTCAAACGGTCAACGTCATTGCCTTGCACGAGGTGTCCACGTGGGAGCAAAACCCTTCAGTCGAGTCGGAGGAGCAAGCAACATAAGGATTTGCCGTCTCGTAGCCTTAGTGCTCATGTGGAATAATTGCATGCTTGTAAGGCTGCCGAGAAAGTGTAATTCAGCACTTTTGGTACTGCCAATGTAACGTGTTGTAGCAATGTCACTTGTTGGAAAGGTCAAAGGCTTTGCCAGGAAACTGATGCCAGTGCCCTTCTCGGACATCTGTTTGAGCCACTGGTAAGGGCCATCCACGGTGCCTCCCTTGCAGCTTCCCACCCCACCGCAGTTCAGCAAGTGCTGCACCTTGCATTGTGTGATCTTACAGAACAAAGCACTGAAACGACGACGGCGAAACCGACCCGGCAAAACAAAGAGGCATTAACATAGAACAGGAATAGCCTGGGACAAGGCAGAAACCGGACACCTGAAGTAGCAGGAAAAAGTGCTGAGTGTGACGTGTATGCTGCAACAACAAAATTTAATGCAAAGACTATGGTCCTGTGTGTCCTTGCGTCCTTTACTTTGCACTTGAGGCCCCGGGCCCCGGCCCCGGGTCAGGGCCGGGATGCACGGTAGTCACGGTAGCAAGGCACGGCGGCGGCGGCTAATTTCTCGGGATGTGTTGTGGGGAGGTGGTGGGTTTGCCAGTGACACGAGGCCACAGCGTGGACATGTCCCAGCGTTCCGCCCGTTCCACGTATGGGCGAGCGCGCGCCGTGCGTGATTGGAATTGGCAACTATGGCCTTACGTAGGGGGTTGTCAAGCCAATGCTGAGCTGCTCCGTGCGTCCAAGGCTGGTGACCAGCCATCCATGACGTGACAGCGGGCTTCCACGCCGAGCGAACGCGGAGCAATGTGCTGATGGGTGACCTTGAGCGCTTGCGCCAATTGACATTGTCCTCGTCACGACGAGAAGGAGCTGTGTATTTTCGAAGTGGCGCCACGAGTTCCGGGAGCGCCGCAAGGCGGGGGGCATACCCGGCATACCCGCGTGCGTTTTAGGCGGAAGAGATGCGGTGGGCCTGGCGTCGAATACGTTGTCTTATACTTTCGGAATCCATTCGACCGTGCCAAACGCGGTGTAGATGACTCCGTTTAGTTGAGTGGTGCGTTCGAGCTCGGTGGTGCTCCACTGTGGCAACATGCTTCTATTGCGAGAGTGGTGAATGTGTCTTGGATCATGATGGTAAGTGGTGTTCTGGGGCCTTTAACTTTGTCCAGCGCATAGAGGCGGCCGTCTGTCTCGGTCCGAATCGCGACGTTTCCGTCAGCATGGGGATCGGCTGGGTCGTTGCTTCTGCCTTCTGGGAGGTCCGCTGGAGCTGTGGCGCCGTGTGCCTGCGCTGCTGGAAACATATTCTCTATAGAATCAACTTGATAGCAAAAATTTGGAAAATCAATGACGCATAGCCAAGGTTGGATTTTGATTCTATAGAGAAGTGTGGGGACATATGAAAGTCGAACTTGGTTTTAGAAAACCATATGAAGGTTGCAATTGACATATGAAGGTTTAAAATCAACCTACCTGATCTCACAACACACCATCCACTCTAAAATCAACTCTAGAACCAAATGTTAGGGCCTCTATAATTGGAGGGCGGGTGTGCTCGGGAGAGCACACACTAGCTCAAAACCTTTAGAAAACAATGTTACCGTGCAAAATTTCAAAAACTGCTCTGGGGCCTAGGCAAAACGCATATTGTTCAACCTTCCTGTGCCCAGTCTGGACGTGCAATGTCAATTACAACAATTAACAGCTCCTCGTCTGCCCACTATCAATGTGTAACACCAATGACAAGTAGGTTAATCTTTCTCTGCGCGCAATGTATGTAGCATCATGAGCAAATACAACATCAAAATGAACATGTATGTCAATGATATTGCTTTAGTAGTTGCTTTAGTCTCTTGCTTCTTGTTTTCATGATGTATTTTCAGGTGTCCATTTTGAAAAAAGACATCTCCCACGAGCGCCCTTATTGTTAATGAACAGGCCCCCCCCTCCCCCCTCACTTTGACCTTGAATAAAGTTCATTCCAGATTCTAAGAAAGGAGTTTAAGAAGTATATAACTGAAACGAATCTGTACTTAGGACAAATTCCTGGGATTGAGATCAAGTAGACTTCTAAGAAAAAGGCGTTTATGAAACGAACCTTTTATTGACACGGAAAGGAAATTCCAAGAAAGGAGTTTAATAAGGAAATTAAATGAATCTTTACTTAGAACAGAAAGGGAATTCTAAGAAAGGAATTTAATAAGTGAAATGAATTTTTACTTAGAACAGAGAAGGAGATGAATAAGGAAATGAAATGAATCTTTACTTAGGTACTTAGAACAGGCAACAAACATGTTTAGCTCTATTTGGGGTGCACTTTATTTAAGGTATGGTGGCTTCATGAGGGGTAGCCTTTCCAGGGTCGCTTTGATCAAGTTTCAGTGGCTTTTAAGTAAGGGTTCTATAAAGAATTTTCTACGCAAGACTTGCGTTGAGCGATGCTGTTGGAAGCACAGTGGCGCCAGTGCTCGGCAAAAGCTGTTGTACATACCCTGAAATCTATGCATCCGTGTCAGAAATGCAATATACTAAAAGACTGCGCAACTTATCACGAATGTCTGCTGCGCGACAAAGTGTAAGAAAAAACGAAGCAACAAAAAAACAAAAGATCAAAACGCAAAAACCCATAAATGTTTGAGATAAAATGGATGCACCCCCCCGCCCCCCCAAAAACACACAAACTCCTATAGTACCACCCCATTTTCTCTCAAACATTGGTTTTTTGGTTTTTATGTGTTTTTGGTTGTTTTTTGGTTCTCGGTTTTGTGGTATTCCCTCAAAACTGTTATAGGCCCGGCCCTCACAAATTAACAAAAGGTGAAAATCTAGGTTTTGGTATTGTTCGGTGATGTTTTAGCAAAAAATCATTGTAAAACGCCATGTATCTCCTCATCTCCTCTACTTAAACAGTTATAGGTCTGGTCCTTGCAAAATTGATCAAAACATAGCCCAATACCTAGGTTTGGGTGATGTCTTAGCCAAAAATCACAGTAAAACACAGTGGTTTTGCGATTTTTTGCTTGAAACACATCTCCCAGGAGGACCCCACGCTTAAAATGCGGTGGTTTTTCAAATAGGTTGATATTTGATTCTAAAAGAAAATTGTCTATAAAATCTGAGGACAATTCTCAGCGCAAGCTCCCAGATTCTAAAGAGGAAATTCGGCAGGGGATAGTATCTGTGTATTCTGCATGCGCACAGACGCGTATCCATCACAAAGCGTTGCTTCGTCCTCAAGGAGTCAAGGAAGGTGATCAGGCGCTGTCGGCCAAAGACAGATGCGCGCATGTCATTGAAAGCAAGTCGCAGTGGCTGTGGTTGGTGGTTGGTCGGAACGCTGTTGCTGCTGTTGCTGCTCCATAGAGTGGTTTTGCGTGGCAATGCCTCATAGAAGCTCTGTTGGTGTCTCGCGTTCCTTCTTGCTTGTCGCTGCGCGCGGAGCGCCGTGGCTTGAGCGACGAGCGCAGTGAGTTCGTCCACAGGGTCGGACAGGGTCGCTATGTGAGCTGTTGCGGAAGATGTCTTGCGCGCGAGCAAAGAGATCAAGCTTTTGCGGCGCACGTTTGTTGTGGGGGTGTGGTGTGCGTTGGAGTGTCGTGGTGTGAGGTTCGCACGACAAGGTCTGGCGGCGACGCAATTTGCGACGCTTGCCTATAGGGCATCGACGAAATCGTCTTCGCGGTCGGCGTGTTCTGCGTCTTGCGCAAGTCGTCTTCGACGCGTGGACGCGCTTCCACCAGCTCCACCGTGGAGGAGTCGCGTGGTCCACGCGTGTGGCATGTTAGCCACTATGTGAAGGTAGTGCAGCTGCCGCAGCGCTCTGTCTTGCTGTAAGTACCTGGCATTTGTGGTTATTTATGGTTACATTGAGTTGTCTCCACGTTCGGGCGCACTGATGTGACTGCCGCTGTCGCGGTCGCTGGATGGTCTTTGCCACCACTGCGATACGGTGCGTGTCTGCGCATGTGCATATACTGGCCCATTGTCCCCAAGGCCAGCGCCAAAGCCAAAACCCAAGTGACGGACGCGCGGCGCTTCGCACCTGTGCTGCTGCACGCGCCCGGTTCAACCGCTTGGAAGTATAGAAGTTGGAGGACCTTCCGCTCCACAGCCTGGATCGCCCTCCATGAGGTATAGAAGTTGGTCGAAGTTCTGGCGTGGAGGAGGAATAGTCAAAGCAACATTCGCAACACACTCAGCACCTATTTTTGGGCATCGCTGCTTCTACCTTACCACTCGTTTTCACAAGCTGACTAACGAATGCCTGGACAGCTTAAAAGTGTCATGATACACTATATCTTGAACATGATGGGGAAGAAGCGAACTGCTACACCACTGAAACATGAGGCCCCACACCTACTAGTTGCCATGGGCATGAAGGAAGAGGAGAGTACAAGGGCCACATCTGCTTGAGTTTTGTTAGTTCTTAGTTTGGCGCCGCCAAGTTGATGTCCACGCCCTGTGCGTTGCGCGCAATCTTGATGCGGTCTCCCAATGCAGAAATGGCTCCATGCGCCCAGCAAGAGCCGCAGTACTGAAGGTTCAATCATTCACTGCACGAGCGCGATCGAAGCGCCAGCGAAGTCACAGACAGCCAGCTCAGAACACATGTCAAAAACACTGCCAAGCGACGTTGCCCCACAAGAAAGAACCTTTCACACCAACCACTTGCAGTGCCAAATTGTGTGACTTTGTCTGCGTCAAGCCCTGAACATCCCTGAACTGTCAAGCGGGAGGGGTTAGAAAAAGTTCAAAAACTTACTCTAGACCGCGGGATGGAAAACCAACAGGTGTTCTTGACCAAGGTTGATTTAAAGGATCAACTTTGTTGATTTTAATCTTGTTCAGCTATTGGATTCCTTTGAGATCCTTGATTGGCTTTTTCTTGAAACTAAAGACTCGTCTGACCAAAAAAAACATTTTCAAACCCTCGCAAATACCAAAAAAACATTCCAAGTATCAACCAATCAAATCTTCTGGGGGTGGTCCACAAGCCCCCTGGCGACGTACTACGACGACGACTACTACTACTAACTACCTGCTACCTGCTACCCATTACGACCTACCACTATACTACTACTTTTAGCTACTACTACTACCATTACTACTACCACTACTACTACTACTACTACTACTACTGCTGCTGCTGCTGCTGCTGCTGCTGCTGCTGCTGCTGCTAATTCTACTACTACTACTGCTACTGCTACTGGTCCTGCTAGTGCTGGTGTTGCTGATACTCCTACTACTACTACTACTACTACCACCTGCTCGCTACCTGCTACCTGCTACCTGTTACCTACCTGTTACCTGCCACCTGCTACCTGTTACCTGCGACCAGCTACCTACTG